TAGGTATACTTACTTATTAATGATAACAACTTGTTCCTCTATAAGATTGCTTTCTCCGATAATGATTGGCCCCCCTTCTGCTATGATACGTGCTTTAGGGTGAATAACAGTGCGTGCACCTGAAGAGAATTCAAATACTCATTTTAAAATGTCAGCGAAATATACACTTGTTGTTTTAGAGTCGGTGAAATGTCAGGGTCACCATAATATTGAAACATCAATATTTTATACCTATTTCATTTTTAATCAACTTACCAACTGTAATATCCCCTTTTAGTTCTGCTTCCACACATACCACTGCACCTGGTGCAATCTTTACACTGTAAGAAAATATTAGAAAGTATTGTTCAAAAGTTGAATCAGGTTTTAACAGTGTTTTCCTAAAATAACTGACATATTGCAAGTTTTTTATAGAATGGACCTTTTCCAGAGTGTTAATTCGGTAGGTACCATACTATACTGTAAAGTATTTTAATTGTGCGGATGATACTTCAAAAACTAGGTCAACTTTGCACGTAAAATCACTAGGAAAATAGGTGTACAGAATCGTAAATACTGCATAACACATGATTAATATAGTATATTAGGCCTAAGAATGATTTGATAAAGGCCAAATTTTCAGCAAACCCAGGTCCGTAAGCAGGATTTTTATTGGATGGGTGCAAATTTGTAGAAAGTGGACCAAAATTGCTCAAGGAGAGGGGGGACCCTTGGGGAAAACCTTTTGGGAAAACCTTGCTGGGATAGAGGGGGCGGAGCTCAAGCATTTTTGATTTGAGGTCTTATTTAATTCATTTCTGAAGATGCATGTATTAAACAGCTTTCAGTGGTAGATCTAGGAATTTGAAGAGGGGGGGGGGGGCCAGGGGGGGATTTTCACAGATGGAAGAAATATTACCTCAGTCTCGCCATGGTTGGGGCTGAGGGAAGAAAATTTGTGATCTTGGCACAGTTAGGGAAAATGTCATCATCACATTCTTTCAACGCTGCTGTGGATGGAATTTGGCTAGAGGATCTAGAGCTTCATTGACAATCGCACAATATTCTTGCTCTGTCATTTACCACGGCGAATAGTGCGAAGGTCTATCTAAATGATGATAAATAAAAGGCGGTCCTAGTTGGAAACTGCTCTGATTGGTGAAGGAGGTTTGGTGGATGGATTCCTGGAATGTGCGAGTGAGTTCTGAATTTTCTACCCTGGAAAATGTGGACCATTTGTAATTTGGGGGGGGGGGGGTGCATATGCACCCCCTGCATATATTAACTTGGCATAAGGGCCAGAAACTCTGCAAGTGAGGAAATCGGCCCTTATTTTCAAAAAATGCACAGACGGATTTCTAGGTCTAATTTTTGTGCGGAGCATATAGCTGGCGCAAGCTGGCTAGGCCTAGTCTAGTAAGAGAGAGGTAGGCCTAGGCCTAGGTCTACTACTCTACTAACCTAGCCTAGGCCTAGGTCTCTCTATTCTCTGCTGAGCAGGCCTTAGTCTAGCTAGTGGGGTAGGTAGGCCTAGGTAGAAAAAAAAGGTAGTTGAGTTATTATTTGTGAGGCGAATTCTTGAGTTTGTTGTTCACATTCACTCACTTTGCGCACAAGGATTACTTACTTTACTTTCTAATAAGGTGGCCCTAGGGCAAAATCCCCTCAACTCAGTGTTTGGGCGTGTCAAACCTGCATCCAACCCTGACAGGCTAGGCCTAGCTTAGGCACTAGCTTGGCTAGGACTTTGTAAATTAGAGAACTTTAATATATAACCAAAATGTGAATATAAAATATCTTAACAGTATCACCAGAAAGCATTCGAAAAATATTACCTTGGCCTATGGTGAGACGACATTGTATTTTTGTAGATTTTGAGCAGTCCCTTCTAACGATGTTTCGGTGCACCAACATCTACAACACCACCAAACCAAGGGATATCCGAAATCCACAAGACGGTGATGGCATATTGCGCATGTCCGTTCGCTTGTGAAGCGTCAGAAGAAAACTTTGCGGTGGCTCGAGGGTGAAAGTTGGCAACATTTTTTGCTCCTGGAAAATTGTTTAAAAAAAAAACCCCTTTGATAGAGGGAGATAAAGTAGCTGGAAAATAGAAACTTACATCGGGTCTATGACTCAGGACGAAACACACGAATTTACACACAAAAATATATTCCAAAGATGCCAATAGGCCTATATATGAGGTTGATTTCAGACGCGGCGCTCCACTATGTTTCCAGTCTCGAATATCCTTTCCACACAAATAGATACATGAATTGTGCATGTAGTTACGTGGGCATGGTGAATTCTACGGAAGCACCTAAGTGCCATTCGACTTGACGACTTGTCAAGATAATTATGTTGTCAAGTCGACATATACATATCATGTCGACATGGCGAGATAGATTATCTTGACAAGTCGACATACTAAAAATGTTTTGTTGTCATGACGAGATAGGTTATCTTGACAAGTCGACATAATAAAAGTTGTATGTTGTCATGGCGAGATAGATTATCTTGACAAGTCGACATAATAAAAATTGTATGTTGTCATGGCGAGATAGATTATCTTGACAAGTCGACATAATAAAAATTGTATGTTGTCATGGCGAGATAGATTATCTTGACAAGTCGACATAATAAAAATTGTATGTTGTCATGGCGAGATAGATTATCTTGACAAGTCGACATAATAAAAATTGTATGTTGTCATGGCGAGATAGATTATCTTGACAAGTCGACATAATAAAAATTGTATGTTGTCATGGCGAGATAGATTATCTTGACAAGTCGACATAATAAAAATTGTATGTTGTCATGGCGAGATAGATTATCTTGACAAGTCGACATAATAAAAATTGTATGTTGTCATGGCGAGATAGATTATCTTGACAAGTCGACATAATAAAAATTGTATGTTGTCATGGCGAGATAGATTATCTTGACAAGTCGACATAATAAAAATTGTATGTTGTCATGGCGAGATAGATTATCTTGACAAGTCGACATAATAAAAATTGTATGTTGTCATGGCGAGATAGATTATCTTGACAAGTCGACATAATAAAAATTGTATGTTGTCATGGCGAGATAGATTATCTTGACAAGTCGACATAATAAAAATTGTATGTTGTCATGGCGAGATAGACATACAATATGTATTATGTCGACTTGTCAGTATAATCTATCTCGCCATGACAACATACAATATGTATTATGTCGACTTGTCAGTATAATCTATCTCGCCATGACAACATACAATTTTGACTATGACGACTTGTCAAGATAATCTATCTCGCCATGTCGACATGATATGCATATTATGTCGGCTTGACAACATAAATTATCTTGACAAGTCGTCAAGTCGAATGGCACTTAGGTGCTTCCGTAGAATTCGAATCCGATTTGAGGTAATATTTTCACTCTCTTTTGTATGGGACCAGCACTACGGTAGTTCCTGAATAGGCTTACTCACGACATAGGCCAACGTCATATTCTGAAAAAGAAGAGACACGGATGATGAAATATGTAAACGATCGAAAACATGAAGGGTATTATGCGCCATTGTACATTACGATATCTTACTATTGTTATTTTCGTCATTGATAAGTGTCTTATTTATTGTATTTTCTATTATATTTCATTTCACCAAACAATGTGACACCAATCCCGGGTGCAAATCATAGGCCTATACATAAAATCGCTCGATTTTAAGTAGCCGCTATCTGAATAAATCAAATTTTGTTATATTATTATAAGTTCCCAATTATTATTAATATCGAATGTGTAAAATTCTGCTTAATTATTTAATTGTACCTTTAAAATGACTTACCGGATCGGCAATGAGTGTCTTTTATTACTTCTTGCAGTTCACATGACGTCGTCCTCCTATATATAAACCTCGTGGTCAGTCTGCTCCTCCTTGTGGCTCAAATTTTTGGGATGTTGTTCAGAAACGAACTTTAAATTTAATAAATAAGGTTCGTTTTTTAAGTCTGAAATTGGACATCTTGAGGTGCTAAAAATAAAAATGTCTAACCTCAGCACCCCCACCCCAGCCATGTAGGATAAGTTTAGGATCAGTCTCTAGCCAGCAACACCTCCCAACTCCAAGACGTATTTATCATTACCATTAATAGGCCCTATTATTTCTTTTCGAATTTAAAACACCACGACCTCCAAAAATCGAAATTTAGCAAACCAACCTTCATCTGGCTTTTGTAGTTCATGACGTTTTAGGAATAAGATAAATATTAGGCCTTGATGGACTGAACCAGGATTTATTATCATTATCTCTAATTTAGTAATAACAACTCCCTGACTGAACTCTGACGTGATCTCCATTTTGTGAAGTAACCTGCCTCATCGTAAGTCCTATAACACTCGAAATTTAAATAAGTCAGAGCATTCGTTTTCTGATACGGCTGTCATTAAAATGGCCGGTTATTTATTGTTTTCTCTCTTTTTTTTAATTTAATTTTATTTTTTTTTTAGATTATGGTATTGCAGGCCTATTTAGTCAATATTTTGTGGTATCGAATTTTAATTTTACCACGAGAGGGCGTGTGTTGGGCTGGAAGGTCGATGTGGTTTATAGTCACAATCGATTCGATATGTTAATTGCGTCATTTGAGAATTGAGTTTTGCATCGACGAGTTTTGTTAGGCAGGAGTATTGAAGACAAAGTTCACATTTTACCAGCTATATTTTATATTTTATAGAAGACTTGAATTTGTAGGTTGTTCTAAAAGTATCTAAATGGTTATATCAACTAATAAAACCACGTCTTTTGACCAGAATTTTATACACAATGAAGAAGAAACGTCGCAAGGTAACCGACCTTTGTCTGGAACGACCTCAAATAAGAAGATGGAAACCAATTTGTAAGTACTGTGCTAAGTTCGGTCTAGGTATTTGTCGGCCTTACGTAATCTATATCCATACTTAGCTGCTGCATATTAACTGAGTTACATACTGACTACGCCTGGTCTGGTATGGTGGGGGAGCCGCATCCGCATAGAGGCTATTATATACTGATAATATTTGACAAAATATTGCCAAATTAGGCACAGGGATTTTAAATTTATTTTTCAGATACGCACCATTGCACCAGACAACAACAACAATAATTTGGAGTCCACAACAACAATTATAGGGACCACACCTTTTTACTCTTTTGTGAGGGAAAAACACCAGGAAAATCCGGCAGTCTTATATCTAATTATTTCGTGCTCTTCCCTCCAAATGAATTATTTTTAGTACAAATCGTGTAGCACATGCTCACTCCAACATCCCTAACCATTTTTTTTGGCATCCCATCTTATTTTAGCTGCAAATTTCCAAACATTTTTTATGATTTTTGAACATCATTTTGAGATTGGTGGTGATGTGTAATCCAGTTGTATACTGTATATTTAGTTAATTTTCATATTTAGTTTTTATGTACTTTGATGGCAATTAAAACAATTTTTAATTGATTTCTGATAAAATAAATATAGGCAGTAATTAATGCACTTTTACAGTCACTTTCTTCTACAAAACACCTGAATGGAAATAATCATTGCATTTATAAAGCTATGACCTTTGATACAGTCAGAGTGAAATCCATTGCAAAAAGGGCATTTCCCAATAATCAGTGGTGCCACAATGATTTTTTTTTAAGCATTTATTATCATTGATATTTTATTGAATATTATACAGTAAAAGGAAGCTTGCCCTTCAAATTTTTGTAGGCCTAATTGCCCTTTATATAGTAATTGAACAGGGTGTTTCTTTTACAAATTGACAGCGAACGTGGAAAACTGCATTGCTTCAAACTTGGCCGCCGCCCAGGGTGGTGTTCCTGATGACTCTTCGGGTTTTGAAACCTTCATTCTTGAAGGGTCAGAAGACGAAGCTGACTCAGACGGTTTATTCATCAGTCGCCTTTTCTCTGTAAGTGTACAGAACTTGTGACTAATTTTGTCGGTAGATAACACAGACAATTAGTTGAGTTTGAACAAAAATGTTAAACTTCCCAGCAAATACAAAAAGGTTTTCCTGAACGTTTTCCATAAGTTGTCAGAAATTACTGTGTAACACAACGTTACAATACAGCAATGCTTGCAGTGACAGAAATTAATATACAGTATATTTTTGTTTTTACAAAAAAACAAAAAAAAAAGTTTTAGCATATCAATGCAACATTATACTGTAACATTAAATTGTTAGCTGGGTTACCACTTAAATTTTTTATTTGGTTTAAAGCTTTCTCCGGACTGTCATATTCTCTTTGACAAAAAACTGATGTGTTGTCATCATGACCAAATATTTAGACATGTTTTTTTGAAAAAAACAAAATTTGATAGTCTGGTCATTAGTGTGCAAGATAAATGATTGCCAAATGTATACTACATATACAGACATCTTGTTGTGATATTCCCCTACACACTTCTTTTTACATAATTATATTCTGTAGGATGATGGTTTGTTGAGCACCTCTGAGAATAGTGTATCTTTGCGGTTTGTGCACAAACTGACGGATAACTTGACCGTCAAGTGGGATGCCGTGTTGTGCAACAACTGTCTCTATGTGGAGATCGTGGATCTGCCGGATGGAAGTAGGGACAGGTATGCAAGGTTTTGATAAAATTGAATCACAATTCACCTGTAGATTACCACAGTTCACCTTAAAATTTGAGACCTCTAATTCCGATACCCGTCTAATTCAAGACCACAATTTCAAAATACCAATTATCAACCTTCATTCTTTATAACACAAAGATAATACTCTAATTGTAGACCAAAACCAGAGATCACTCCACATTTTCAGGTCCCAAAAGGTCTCGAATTGGAGGGTAGTTTAAACTATACTATCATTTCCAGTTTATATATTTAAACATGATACAGTACATGCAATGTGCTTACAGTCTAGAGGGTGGACACTTCCCAATAATACTTGCATCCTCCAGTCACCTTTCCCTCTCCTTCAAACTTCATGCTCAAATAGTTAAAAAGCCCCTCAAATCATCGTATTTTGCAAGCTTGTGTCCCCTCACCTAATCATCAAGCCCAATCAGTGCCCCAGTCCCCACTTCACCTGGATGTACCACAGCTCACAGTTACTGTATACTACAGTACAACCATTTTTGCTACATATATTACAGTTAAATAATGAATAAATGTTTATATACTTTGACATGTCATCACCATTAAGTTACTGCAAGAAAGAAACTAAAAGATTTTTAAATATGTATTATACTGCATTTCCATGAGTCATACTCAATAAAAGACAACTTTATTTATAGTATATGGTGTAATTTTTATATTTTCTTTTTAGTTTTGTTTCTCTGCTTGACTTTGCTGAGGAGGAGCTACACTGTAGTCATGTGGTGGTTTGTTTCTTGAAAGATAGGAACACAAGGAGTAAGTTTTTCTTTCAAGCTTTTTTTTTCAAACTATAAATATTTTACTTTACCAATGCGTTTTCCCTGATCATTGGAAACAGAATCAAACATATTAATGTAGAACTTCCTTTAACCTCAGCTCCTTGGGAATCTTTGCCATTCTGTGACAGGCTACTCCTGGATAAATAACAGATCAAGTATAATCATTTACATTAGAATTATAATAGTATTTCCTTGGCTATAGAATACATTTGTATGTATTTTCTTTTTTTGAAGGGAGAGGGGGTATGTCTCTAGGTGAATATTGTTTTCTTGGATTATTATATAGCCCATGATAATAAAATTATTAATGAAATTTATTTGGCATTCCAAATTATTACATTTGCCAGGAGAGAGAAGTAAGCAGTTAGCACTCTTTCCTTGTTATGCTACAAAATAAAAAGAAAAGGAAATACTAAAACAGTTTAAGTAGCTAATAAAAATTATTATTTTCCATTTTATTTTTTTTACACAAAAATGATGTATAAATACATAACATTTGTTATATACTTTTTTCTTTATTTTTCCAAAGGTTCAATGACGAAGACGTTTATGTATCAGGGATTTAGTCCATTGCCTCCTCAGTGTCCGCTTGTTTCTCGAAAAAATGCCAACTTTTTCTTCATGGGTTACAAACTTGACTAAGAAAGAAGGTGTTGAATAAATTGTTGGAATTGTAGAATGTGGCGGGGGACTAAAAAACAACATTATGCAAAACCTAACCTCACATTTAAACTAAAATTTAGTTGTACTAATTAACACATATAAGCAACAGGTTTTAAAAGGATATATTAAAAGATGTTAAATTTTAAAGAGAAATTGTGCTGGTATGATTATCTGGAATTATATACTGCGAGATTGGATCTGACAGTAATTATGTGTAGAGCATTGATATTGGTTTTGTTGGGATTATGTGTTAAAAGTTAATATTGTATTTAGTTCTAAACTTAGTTTAATGTTATATGCATTATTGTTTGCCTGTTTTCATGCAGTGAGTTACATGTTATTTTAAAACAAGTATAAATTATTTTTTTGTCATCAGTCTGTGCACACACGTTAATATTCCTACACGAAACTATTTCATTTGTTTTTTACAGACTCTAAAAAAAATTGAAGTAACCATTGTTTATGACCGGTGCTTAAAAATATTCTTACCGAATTCATACTTAGCAGCATATTTGCCTATCATTTGCTTAGTATTTGCATATTATTTGCTTAGTATTTGCATATATAATAAATTGGATTTATTGCTTTAAACATTGTCCAGTTTTCATTTTGTTATTGTTAAATATTTTCACAAGATTTGAACCAGTAGCAGTGCAAATGGTGGCACAGGGAACACTGCTTTAAAAAAAGCAAATATTTGTTACCATCTGAAATAAAACAAAGGTGACTCCAAATAGAGAAAGTGAGGCCATTTTTTTAATTTTTGATGTTTTGTTACCATCCGGGAGTGCCAATTTCTGGGCAAAATTTGGTCCAAACCTGGTTGGGTTGGCGTGAATTTAGGCCCTTGCTGAGAACTTGCACCTAATGTCAAGGACCTTGCAGCCTTCGTCAGGTAAATTCTAGGGCCAACACAGATTTGAACAAGTCATCAAATCACTCAGCACTTTCAACTCTGACTTGCCAAGAATGCATTTTAACTACAGTAATGGGTATGCAGTAAAACAAGCTATTTACAATTCATGTACCACCTGCTCTGATCATCAATATACCAGAATTAATTAAATTTTACATGATTACTAGCTGCTTCTATTTGTCATAAGCAAAACAAGAATGCATGCGATAGGTTGTCCTGTGTCATGCAACAACCAAAATATAAAAATACTCATAAGAAATGCAAAGCCCCAAACAAAATTAAATACATATTTAATAAAAAAAATTAAAGATATTACTCATCTTTTGAAATCATAATTTCAGTTGTACTGTATTGCTGCATTTTTATTGGCATTTATTGGTATTTATTACTGTTTAAATCTCCCTTGGTTAATAGATATGGGTAAATATACTAGCTTAAAGAAGGGTTTTGTATTGTCTTGAACAACACAAATTATTGGTAACACAAACTCTAATTACTAATATGTTAAAATATTACTAGGCCTAATCACATGAAGCCTTGTCATTTAGGCCTATTCTTGATAATTGATAAATAATCCATATTCAGCCTTTAAGTAATACGGTACATACTTATATTCACGTGTTGGTCAACTTAAATTTGTTTGAGAATGAATTTGTTCCAAAATTATGACATTCATGTCAGTGCATCTTCTTGCTCTCCTAAAAGTATTTTCATCCTTTTTATCTTCATTACTTTTTTTTTTCAATCTGATCCTATTGATCCTTTTCTTTGCTATTAATACATTAACAAAAATTTGGAATGTTAAAAAAAAAGTTTTTTGATTGTGTTGTGTCATTTTCAGTGCGTAAATGTCTGTCAGGGGTGTTACCAATTATCATGAGTAGTTGCACATGGCCTAATGAAGGCTTACTATAATACAGACACAGCCATAATTTAAAAAAAAAAAAAAATTCCAGATCATAAAGGACTGGGATGATCCAATTTAAATCGGCAATCTTATGAATTAAGCTTGAATTTCTTGAGGCAGCAACTAGCATATACAATTGCCACTATTCATGTTTTGTGTAGATTGGTATATGACCTCTGTACAGACAGAGCTACACTGCAATGTAAGGTTTGCACAAGATACAGTATACAAATTTGTACTATGTACTTGCTATATATTGGTGGATGATCACTGTCTGGTTATAGTTCAATGTCGCAATCTGATACAAACCCACCTTCAACTAGTTCAGCCTGGATTTCAAAAGCATGCCATTATCAAAATTGCATTCCCTTCATATTCACAAATGCTGTCAGGGTGAAGCAATTTGCATACAATTACTATTCAAATGAACGGCCTTTAGCACACTCCAGCGCTAATGTAATAACACAAGTGCTCGAATAGTACAATTTAGAATGATTGTACTTTGTTGATTCTCTCACAGGCAGGTCAATATAAAAACAGTAGATTCTAAGTATTAAACCTACATTACATCAGTAATCAGTATAAGTGCCTGTCTGGAATAACTATGGCTTAAAGCCTTCCTTTGGACAAAACCTTTCCAACCAATTTAGGCGAGACACTTTTTATACTTTGTTTCACGAACTTATTTTTTATAGATTGCCAGAGGAGTGCGGAAAAAAAATAAAAATTTAATTTTGTTTTCTTATTTAGCAAATTTTTTTGCCTAAAACATCCAGACGGAGGAGGAAATAAAAATAAAATGTTATTGTTTAATGTAAAGTGTAGTAATGGGATGGTTAAATCTTTTAATTTATATACTTAGGAAGAAATATACTTATCTTATTTTTTGAGATTTCAAGGCAACATCGGACGAAATAAAAATAAAGAAAAACTTTTTTTTTTATTTTTTTCTGAAATTTCTATTGGCCAAAAATTAAATTTTAGTTTTTATTCAAAATTATCATTATTGGCGAGTAAGGTATAAAAAAAGTCTCGCCTAAAATGTTTTAAAAAATTTTGTAGCGATAATATAATCTAAAATGTTACAAAACAAAATAAAATCAATAATTTACCCAGTTTTCTTTTGATGCCAGAGCTCTTCTAGGCCCATAATAATTAGACCTTATTTTATTTATCAATTTACATGGTGGTAGGTCCTACTGTATATTAGTGCAAAAAAAAAATATTTTAATCACCGTATATTCAATTCAATTCAATGAACATTTATTTCCATTTTCATAATTAATATAAACATTTTTTTGACAAAAACAATGGGGGAAATGCCTTAAAAGCTCTGAAGCTTGCAGCAGCCCTTAAAAATAACAGAAATAACAAGAATAATATTACAAAATGATATTTTTTTTTATCAACTTTCATCTCGAAACAAATTTTAATGGATTTTTTTTAGTGGGGGGGGGGGGTTGGTGGTGGTGATAGAGAGTACAGTATATATTTTTTTGATTGTGTGATTTTATATTCATTACATATATTTAACTTAGTTGTCTGGGGATTGCTCCTCATAAACCCTTTCAAAAGAACATACAGGATGCACTACACATGGGGTTTAGGATGTGCTGCTGTTCTTGTTTATGAGGGAAAAAGATGTCCTTCACAGGACTCGAACCCAGAACACTAGGATTGGAAGGCAAGTATTTTTACTATCAAGCAGCTCCAGTAATAAGTTTATGCTGTACTGTACTAAAAAAAAAAACGTTTTTGCGTGCATGTGGGCGGCCAGCTATGAATCACCTCCAAGTCAATAATTTAGCTCAATATATTCATTCGCTAAACGTGTTTGTTCTGTCACTCCATCAATCAATAACGTGGTAGCCCAACTTAGATTGACCCTGAATACTGTGAAATGTCATCACAAATGGTAAGACTAGAAGCAATAAGCCTCAGCGACTGTAGTCTATCAACTTTAGGGAAAAAAAACGTGTCAATGATATGAATATTGATAGCAAGCTCTGCATTTAAAGCCTTCCTGTCAAGCATGACGTAACACCCATGAGCTGTCACTAGCAACAGTAAAGCAAGGAGCTCCAGGGGGCTGCAGGGTATTGACAAGTTTTTTGTTTCTCAGGATCATGGTCCTTTGATTGACCAAACTGGGCCGTTAATAAACAGGAACGTATAAAAAACAAAATACAACCTTCGTCCTGTACTCCACTAAAGCCTTACAAACAATGGTTTATCTAGGGGGCAGTGGTGTATCTAGGGGAGGCGATGTATGGGGTTGGGCACACCCCTCCAAAAATTACTCACGCCCTCAAAGGCCCTCCCACCGAAATCATGGTCAAGTTGTTAAAAATAACCTAAATCACCTTATTTTGTTATTTTGCGAGTTAGCACCCCCCCCCCTTCACCTTCGCACTCCCCCACTCCTCATCAGCACCCCCACTTCAAGACTTCTAGATACCCCACTGCTACAAAAAAGTCTCCCTCACCAGTCACCACCCTTTCATTGGAGATGTTCGAAGCTACAAAATTATGCGAGTAGTAGGCCTAATTAATAATCACCTTGTGCTACATTATTTTGCAAGCTAGGCTAGTACTCCACTCCATCATCGAGGCTCCCACTTTTACTTTCCCCAATTTCAAAACTTTGAGATATGCAATGCTTACGAAACTCTACCTCCTCAGGGTAGTAGGCCCCAAAAAGAAGCCCGAGCCACAGGCCTGTTTGTTACACTACCACCGCTTTCTGCTACCTACCGCTCTTGCCTTTACTGTCTTCCTGTTACATACCACTCTTAACCTTTCCTACTTTGTCAATATTTGGACTGCTTATTTAAGTAACCTATTAACATTTAAATCAAAACTGAAGGCTAATAACCTACATAAATATTCTATAAAGTAGCAATATGAATATTGGAAAAAAAGGTTCAGTGTAATGATATGTCAAGGTAGTTCTACCATATGTATTTTGTTATATCATTATTATTACTATGTATGCAGCTGAATCTCAAAATGTAATACTGATTAAGGTACAATATTCAATTCAAAATTTATTTGCTCCAAAAGCCATCAATAGGCTATTATTCGCTATACATGAAATAATTACATTTTCATTCATCTAGAAGATGATAATAATAATAATAATAATAATAATAATAATAATAATAATTATTATTATTATTATTATTACAGAATAACTTGTCGCTTTTAATATATGTATTTACTCCTTAATTATTAGAGGAAAATGGTAAAGCAGTAGGAGCTCATGGTTTCTGGTTAGGAGGATGGGATTTCACGGCTGTCCACTCTTGTTTGATCCTAAAGGCACTCTTCCTGCCAAGGAGTTAAATTAATACCTGCTTGGGTTGCATGTTACTGCACTGAAACAATTATAGAACTGAGGAGTAATAATGTATTGTACACTTCAACACTTCCTAAATATAGAATCTCTGCTTTAAAAACATAAATTATTAAATTATTCATTTATTAAAAATTCATCACACATTTTATTTGCATAGGAATTATTGAAACAGGTTGTTGTGTTTTGACTTAAGTTTAAAGTGTAATCGCTTTTTTATCAATATTAATACGACAGCCTCAAGCAAGGTTGTTCCTTTTAATTAATGTTATTAAACTAGTAGACTAGTTTAAAAATACAGGCTTTCCTTCCTTCAATTAAAGACCACTTTTGGGACCAGGGCTTCTTGTACAGCCTCTTAAAAGAAAAGACTTTGTATAGTATAAAAAAAAATGAACCCAAGAATAGATAGT